GCCTTATTTTGGCAATAAAAGTGCTCTAAAAGTTGCCTTAACATTAACCAAAAATGCAGTCACTATGGAAAACAGTATGGAGGTTGCTTAAAAAGCTAAAAATAGAGCTGCCATATGATCTAACAATCCCACCCCTGGGCATATATCTGGAGAAAACTATAATTCAAAAATATACATACACCCTTACGTTCAGAGCAGCATTAATCACAATAGCCACGACATGGAAGCATCCTAAATGTCCATCAACAGATGAATGGATAAAGAAGATGTGGTACATGTACATATACTACTCAGCCATAAAAAAGAATGAAATGATGCCATTTCCAGCAACATGGATGGACCTGGAGATTATCATACTGAGGTAAGTCAGAGAGAGAAAGACAAATACCGTATGATATCGCTTATATGTGAAATCTAAAATAGGACACAAATGAACTTATCTATGAGACAGAAAGACTCATAGACACAGAGAACAGACTCGTGGTTTCCACAACATTGTAAATCAACTATACTTGAATAAAATAATTTTTAAAAATTAACCGAAAATATAAGAGCACCAACAAAAACCCGTTCTGTCAGCCCATCTTCCCATAGGCTAAGTAAACTGTACTACTTCTAAGAAGAGAAATAAAAAAAATCAAATTGCTTATCTACTGATTCCTCAGCACATGGTCTTCATTAAAATAGGAGTATACACTTCATCATTGTGCACCTGGATTATATTCCATTTTCCTAAAAAAATGTATATAAGTGGGGTCTTGCCTGGATTTTCTCTTCATGATATAGAAGCTGTTACATATCCAGCTGATCACATTACTGCCTGTTGCTGAAAGGCATGAACTTCAACAAACAGGTTTTAAAATTCACTTGTGATCATTTATCGAGTGTACTATGGCCAGGCACACACTGAGTATGGGAGAATCAGAGGAGCATTGCTCTCAAACACAGCGGTGTAATATATAAACTGACACATGCAAAGAGACCATGGAAATGTCCTGCTGATGGTATAAATCAAGAGCCGTGCCAGAAGTCCAGGAGGAAGAATACCTCTCCTGGGAGACCCTGGGAAGACTGCAGTGGAGGTGATGTTTGAGCTGAGTCTTGAAAGATGAGTGGAAGCTTGCCAGGTGAAGGAGGGCAATTTACAAGCAGAGGGAATAGGATGGCTCATGAAAGTGCCTGGCACGTTTGAGAAAGAGTGCAAAGGTGTGTTTAGCTGCAGCCCAGGTTTTGTGGGAGGGAAGGAAGCTGGGAGGACAGTTAGGTCAGGGCTAGAACACGGGAACCTTGTTAGCCTACACTCGGGGTGATCACCCCTGCAGGTAATGGGGGGCACAGAGGTGTACTGCATGAGGTATTGTGTGTGTTGTGCTTTTAAGGGGAGTGGAGGTCACACGGAGTGAATGTGTAACTTGGGAGTAGAGTAAGCAGAAACGGGTTAGGGAGACCAAAAGGGAGGTGGCAGTGGGAAGGGTTAACTTTGAGAAGCAGGGACTTCCCTGGTGGTCCAGTGGTAAAGAATCCACCTTCCAATACAGGGGATGCGGGTTTGATCCCTGGTCAGGGAACTAAGACCCCACATGCCACAGGCTAACAAAGCCTGCATGCCACAACTACTGAGCTCGTGAGCCTCAACTAGAGAGCCCGCATGCCGCAAACTACAGAGCCTACAGGCCCTGGAGCCCACGCATCACAACTAGAGAGAGAAAACCCGCATGCCACAACTAGAGAGAAGCCCATGCACCACAATGAAGAGCCCGCATGCCTCAACGAAGACCCTGCACGCCACAAGACCCGACGTAGCCAAAAAATAATAATAATAAATAAAACTTTGAGAAGCATTATTGAAAGAGAATAGATAACACGTGGTGAACCCTGGCTGTGGAGGTGGAAGGAAAGGGTAAAGCAGAATATGACTTTGAAGTTGCTCAGTACAGGGGAGACTGGGTGGCTGGTGACACTATTAATCCAGGTGCAAGAACATGATGGGTTCTGTACTCGGGTGTGCCCCAACTAAAGGATGACCATTCACTTTGGCACAGGTGGCCAGTGACCGAACAAGAAGGCAGGATGACAGTGGCTGAGGAGCCTGCCCCAGAATGAGACCTCTGATCTCTTCATTTCCATGCCTCTGGCTCATGGTATCCATCAATCGGTTCAATACCATTTGAAAGCTGTTATCTAGAAGATATCTGATCTACTGAAAACCTCTTTTTTGGGTTACTTCTTATCTGTCCTGTTATAAGAGTGTAAGTGTGGGAAGTCTGGAGCCAGATCATTCAGGCAAGTGACCTCCAGCAAGTCAGTGAAAGCTTTCTGTGCCTCAGTTTCCTCATCTGCGAAATAAGGATAAAAATTCTTCATGAGGTTGTTACAGGAATGAAATGAGTTAGTCTATGTAAAAGGGTGTCTGGCACACAGTGTAAGTACCTTGTGAGTGTTTGCTAGCATTATTAATAAGTAATGGAATACTTGACTAAAAGTGGTACAAATATTAGAGATTTATTATCAAAGAACAAGATTGGAAGTGGGCAGTTCCAGGTTGGTGCGAGGACCAGATCCTTTGCATATCCCACTCTGCCATCTTCGGCTTGTTAGTGATTTCTCCCCTCATGGTGGCAGAAAGGCTGCAGTAGTCCCAAATATCAAGTCCTCACGTGACCGGCATTTCAAGCAGGAAATGTCTTTCTTCCTTGTGTAGCCCTCACTTATCAAGGAGGAGAATCTTTCCTAGAAGCCCCAGTTGGTTTCCTTTCAGCTAGAACTGGGTCACAGGCCCATCCCTAACTGCAAGAGGAGCTGGGAAAGAATCTGGCACTTCCAATCTATAAACAAATGAAGCAAAAGTGGAGCTGGGCTGGCTGTTGCATGGAGAATCCGCAGTGTCCGTCACAGTCTGGGAGCCAAAGATTTCAAGACTGCCTCACTCAGGCCAGGGATAATTGAGAAACAAGGACATCGCACTATTCTTCCAGCGTAAATGAGCCACAGACGTCATCCTTCGGGGGTCATTAGCTTTTTTAGGGATAGCTTTTAACTCAGGTGAGTAACTTGTTGGTGAAATACAGAGAGAGGATATTTTTGAGCCCAGGGACCTTCCTAGTCTTCTCACCTGTTCTAGGCTGTCACCTTCCCTTCCCACAAACCAAAGGAGGAAGTTCATAATTCAGTTCACCTTGTCTAGAAGGTTGGCTAGGCCAATCACTCTTAAAGGTACTTAAAAGGAAGTGGATGCAGGCTTCACCCCCTTTTACTGCCCCATGCAGCATCTCACCCATGGTGATGGGGTAATAAGCAGAGAGCTGTGTGAGAAGAGCTACTCTTTCCCCTTGAGAAGGACGCCACAAATCAGCAGTTCCCCTACAATCCACATCCCCACAGTCATGGCCAGAGTTTGGGCCCATAGCATCTCTCATCTGGGCTCCCAATCAAATTTGTCCATCGCAAGAAAGATTGCAGACAGCAAGGTGGATGGAGAGCTCCAGAAGAACGCCTTTATAAACATCCACAGAAAGCCCTATTTCCAATATCCAATTCTGTTAACAAAGGGAGGAGAAATTTTAAAATTCCAAGGTACTTAGTTACTAATCTGATTCTGGCCTACATGTGGATATTCAATAAATACTTGTTAAATTAAACTGAGTCAAGGTTTTATTTATTCAACCTACTTAAAGCTTATGTAAACCCCTTGGAGATTTGTGTCAAGCTGTTAAGTTGGAAAACATATGAAAAGTAGTATTTTCAATAGACCAGCTTTCCTCTTAATGAGCTTTATGAGCTTAGGGTAAACCAGGGGGGAGGGGGAGGGGTTCCAGGCGAGGGGACGGGAAGGAGGAAAAAGGAGAAAAGCCTGTTTCTGTCTCCTCTACATTTGCCTTCGTTGCTCTACTTATTAACCAGTTACTGCCCTCTAGCGTTCACTGTATAAATTCTCACCTGAATCCCATTTTTGTCTTTAAAAACCCTGATGACACCAGGGACCAAACCTCTTGATTTGCAAATAAGCAAATTGAAGTCCAGAGAGATGAGATGGCGAACTGACCCAGGCGGTCTCCTGGATTCCCAGTTACCCCACTGTAACTTGTCCGGCAAACCCCCGTTACTCAAAACATTTCTCAGACACTGTAATAACTAATCAATAAAAATTACAGGATGCTAATCACTTAATAATACAGGCAGACCTCGGAGATATTGCGGGTTCAGTTCCAGACCACTGCAGTAAAGTGAATACGACAAGAAAGCGAGTCTCACGAAGATTTTTGTTTCCCAGTACATATAAAAGTCATGTTTACACTGTACTGTAGTATTAAGTGCAATAGCATTGCCTAAAAAAAGTATATACCTTAATTTTAAAATATTGCTAAAAAAGGCTAACCATCGTCTGCGTCTTCAGCAATTCCTAGTGGTAACATCAAAGATCATTGATTACAGATCCCCGGAACAAATATAATAATGAAAAAGTTTGAAATACTGCAAGAATTACCAAAATGTGACACAGAGACATGAAGTGAGAAAATGCTGTAGAAAAATGGCACCAATAGACCTGCTTGAGGCAGGGCTGCCATAAACCTTAAATCTGTGAAAAATGCAGTATCTGTGAAGCATGATAAAGTGAAGGACAATAAAATGAGGTACGCCTGTAATTTTAAGTGCTATCTATTATTTCCAATGTTATTCCAAATAAAGCCAAAATTGACTATTGGTCAAGTTTAGATAAGGACTTATAAATAATACTGTTACATTCTAAATTTACTTAAGTTTGGAAAATGCCTATATTACTTTTTCTTTTGTTTTTTTGAAAAAATAGTTAACTAGAGCAGACCCTAAGTAGATGTGGCCATTTATCAGAACTTATCATCACCTAAATGCAGGCTAATATTCTGCTAGAATTCTCCCAAAGGAACCTCTTTTGCTCATTGATGGGATAAGGGGGGGGTTGCCATTTTAACTTAGAACACATATTTTCATCATTTAATCATTTTGCTGGTGGGAATAAATTTAAAGTTATCCAGCTGGACGTGTCACTTGCAAAGAACATTAACTGAGTACCAAAAGATTTATTCAGATATTTAATTGGAAGGAAATACATCTGGAATAAGTTTTATTGGAATTCATATAAAAAGGAAAGTAAATCCATTAGAATTAATACCATAAACAGTCGACTTTATCTGGAACCAGAAATATTAATGAATTGGAGCCTAGGAGTCCTAACCCTTTTTCCTTGTAAAAAGCCAGTCGTTTTCCAATTGATGTGGCAATTCTTCTTTATTGCTTTAGGTAGAGCTTTGTTTTCAGCTAATATTTTAGAGACAGATCCTTCAAATCACCCAGGTTGTTTCTTTCCCCCGCTTCTTTTCACAGAACAAGCAAAAAGAGAGCGGCATCTCTTTTAGGAGGCATCTCTGCCTGTCTTCCAAATACTTGAAAAATCCCGCGAAGGTGAGCAAATCAGCAGAACCTCGCTGCATAGGGGCTATTAGTAACTACATGAATAAAGAGACATCTAGGGACCTCCCTGGCATCCCAGTGGTTAAGGCTCCCCACTTCCACTGTAGGGAGCACGGGTTCGATCCCTGGTCCTGGTCGGGGAACTAAGATCCCACATCCCACAGCCAAAAAAAAAAAAAAAAAAAGGCATCTAATTTCCCCCCTAGATGTCAACATAGATGCCATTGATCAAATAATCAAGCCTCGAGTAACGTTTCCTGCGGAGGGATTCTAAGAGCGTTCTGCCCAAGAGACCCAGGCCTATGGCGAGGAACAGGACCCCAAAGAGCACGGTCCCGACCAGGAGCCACTGTTCAAATGCGAGGCCCTGCTGCCTTTCTGGAGCACCGCTCAGGGAGGGCCCACCAGAGCTGGCCTTCCCATCTTCCTGGGAAGCTGTTGTGTTTGTAGTGGGAGAATTCACATTTGACAAAGGAAACAGAGCAGGGTCCCGGGCAGCCTCTGTGTTCCAAGTCAAGCTGGAAACGTCTCTAAAGGGCGCCGTGTCTGGTGGGCCTTTCGAGTGTGTCGATGCCCTAAAGATGGAAGTCGGAACCTCAGTTGTGGTCGTGTTAGTGACCGCGGCTACAGGTGGGGCAGAGGTGGCCCCTTGAGGCTGAGGAGTCACAGAAGGTATCCCTGCAGCGTTGGCGGCAGGGAGCGATGCAGGCTTTGGAGAGGCCAGGATGGCGGGCAGAGCGGTAACTGCCACTGGACTGGGGAACACTGTCACATTTTCAGGCAGCAGATGAGCTACTGTTTGTTCTGAGGAAGACGGTGACTTCTGAGAGTGGTCATTTTCTTTATCAACAGTCCACCGTGGACTCGCCAGATCAATCTTGAGTAGTTTCTCCAAGTGATCTGAGGATCCAAACTTCTGAGAAAATGAATCTCTCCATAAGACCGTGGACTCTGAATCACCTGTGGGAGGAGGGGGCGTGGGAGTGATGGTGTGTGAAGACCTGTTGCCGAACAGAGACTCTTCCTGGGCTACCTCCTGGCTTGGCAAATCAGTTCCCGCCAAAGATGGAAAATCTGAAGACGGAAAGAAAATTTAAAAAAGACTTCCATATTTCCATGCAAAGGGAGGTTAACAAGTACAAACGTTATCAGCTTGTTCAATAAGACCTCAACTGTTGATTCTTGACATTTCATGGTGCAAAATGGAAAAATACGAATTGCTAAATCAGATCCTGATGACCCTGCCTCTCCCCCAGATGCTGTGGTCTATTTCTAGAGTGTTGGCCCAGAGGAGAAGAGAAATGTGCGGAGGAGCATCAGGCAAATGAAGGAAGAGGTGGGAGGGGACCAGCAGAGATGCTAAGAGGAGCTCAGCATGGGCAGCAAGAGGTTTAGGAAGATGGGGACCCTTCAGGGGCCAAAGCCAGGGAAGGCAGCTGGGCTGGGATGATGCGGCAGGAAGAGGACTGGCAGAGAAAATGCTGGTGTGAGGCACAAGCTGTGCCAGCTGGGACTGCAGTGACAACTGGGAAGCAAGCAATCCCTAGGGGAGATATCACGGTGGGTGGAGGGGTAGCCCACGGGACAATGAGGAGAGGAGACAAAATCCCAGTGACTTGCCTTCCACAAGGAGGAGGAGGAGGAAGCTGGAGGGTCCCTGAAGCCAAGGCGGCAGCACAAAGCTGATGACGTTTTTCAATGAAAAAAATGGGTTTCAGGGACTTCCCTGGTGGTCCAGCAGTTAAGACTGCGTGCTCCCAATGCAGGGGGCCCAGGGAACTAGATCCTGCACGCCGCAACTAAGAGCCTGCATTTTTATATTTTTAATAGTTATTTATTTATTTGGTTGCATCAGGTCTTCATTGTGGCACGCGGGATCTTCCTTGCGGCATGTGGAATCTTTCGTTGTGGCACGCAGGCTTCTTTCTAGCTGCGTCGCATGGGCTCGAGAGCGCATGGACTCAGTAGCTGTGGCACGCGGGCTCGGTAGTTGTGGCACGTGGGCTCTAGATCTTAGTTCCCTGACCGAGGATCGAACACGCATCCCCTGCATTGGAAGGTGGATTCTTTATTTATTTATTTATTTATTTTTTTGCGGTACGCGGGTCTCTCACTGTCGTGGCCTCTCCCGTTGCGGAGCACAGGCTCCAGACACGCAGGCTCAGTGGCCATGGCTCACGGGCCCAGCTGCTCCGCGGCATGTGGGATCCTCCCGGACCGGGGCATGAACTTGTGTCCCCCGCATCGGCAGGCGGACTCTCAACCACTGCGTCACCAGGGAAGCCCATGGAAGGTGGATTCTTAACCACTGGACCACCAGGGAAGTCCCAATAAATAAATATTTAAAAAAAAAAACAAAAAAAAACAACCAGCTTTCAGCACTGTACTCAGGGGAGGAAGGCGATCTGAGAGATTTTCCTTTGACCCTTGAAGATTAAAATTTTAGAGCCAACATCTTAGGTTCTGAGGACCATGGACCAGTATTTGAAATCATTATGGCCACGTGGCTAGCATAAAGAGCAGAAAATCACAGAGTCCCAACTCCTGCTGAGGAGGAACCAGCCTCAGATCCTCCTCCTGTGTGAGAAAGTTTAGAGTTTTGCTCTTTGTCACACATGCCGTTTATCACAGCTCGAACTGAAAAGGCTGGTTAAAGCAATCCGGGACAGAGAAAGACCGCTTGAATTGCTCTGTATCACTCTGCTACTTGGCTAATCATTTCACTTAAATTAGAACGGCAGAAACACAAGGAAGGAAGCAACGGTGATTCTCCCCTCTTCTCTTTTCCGTCTTCTATTTCAACTCCCCTCAGTACCAGTTTCTAAACTAGACCTCACTCTCCACTCTGCTAACAAATAGATCCAGAGGCAACTTCAGATTTGTGACATCTTTGACTATCTAGGACAGGGGTCAGCAAATGATGGCCACTTATCTTCATATGGCTTGCGAGCTAAGAATGGTTTCTACATTCTTAAATGATTGAAAAAAATCCAGAAGGATAATATTTTGTAACACGTGAAAATTATATGAAATTCACATTTCAGTGTCCATAAATAAAGTTTTATTGGCATACAAGCATGCCCATTTGTTTACATATTGTCTATGGCTGCTTCTACGACAAGGACAGAAGTGAGGAGGTCCGACAGATTGCATATGGCCCACTAAGTCTAACAGACTTGCCTGAAAAGCCTAAAATACTTATTATTTGACCCTCGACAGAAAAAGTTTGTGGATACCTGCTCTAGGACACTCTAAAATAGAATTTGGATGCCTGAAATTCCTCCAACAATGCTGAAGAAAAGAGTTTCTGCTGCAGGTGATATCACATTCATAGGCATAGTGTCACCACGAGATAAACAGCACCTGTATTTTTAGGTCGCGTCAGATATTTTTAAAAAGAGCAGGACTCATCATATTTCATTTTAAAGTTTAAAAAGAAGGCTAAATAAATGCTCTGTGATATGTGTGAACTCAAAACTTAAAATAAGGCCATTGACAAGAATGACCAAAACAGCTGTTTTCTTTCTCAAGAATACAAGGTCATAAATAAAGCTAGGGCTAGTCCCATTTCTTGATAAGATTCATCTGTTGGCAAAGATCCTAGAACCACACAGGGATTCTCCACACCTGCTCCATTCACCTCACCCACTGATGTTTGCCTTTGGGGTGTGGTGTTTTCTCTCAGTCACATAGCCATGAGCTATAGAAGGAGCTGGGAAATGTGTCCTCAACCGCTCTTTTGACTTTCATTGTCAAGTGACTTCACTAGATAAAAAAATTTAGGGACTGACTATTAACCTGGCAACCAGCTGAGCAAATAGACTTTCAATTTATCTATTTCTGAATTCCCCTATTCTAGTCCTTGGAGGAATGACAGACCACCAAGCTCCAAAAACAAACAAACATTAAATAATGCCAAGCTGCAATGGTTTTACAGAATGAACAGAGCACACTGTTATCTTTCAAACTTTCAGTCTGTAAATATTAGTCAGTTACAGGAAATAGAGCTCATCTGAAAACAAACCACCAAACTTATATCTACTGAATTTCACCCCGACCAGCAGGCAGATATTTGTTTTTATGGGGCAATCTCAATCCATCAACACGGGCAGATTCATAAATAGAATTACAAACATCATTTGTAAACACCTGTAGATACAGACAGCCTGCGGCACACCAAGTCCGGGGTTGGTGCCACTTTGCCCCTAGATAGCCACCGGCTCTGGGCTGATGGTGCCCCCTGGTGGCTGACACAGGAATTGTTCGATTCTAATTCCACTTCATTCACTACCTTCACACTTGCCCTGAAAAGGTTTAGGCACAAGCCAAGTTCACTTTTCTCCCACTTCCACTGGAGAAAATGGAATCTTTACCACATACTCCCTCTTTATACATGCATTATAAAATCAGTAACATGACAGAAGTATTATGAAAGTTATAAAACAAATTCAACGATAATTTCTATCATGTCCCAGCAACTATTAACATTTATGCACACCTTAAAATTAAATTTTTTTTCATGTAATTTAAAAACTGGGTGTTTTTCACCTGAAATTTAGGTGACATTTTATTTCTACATCTCAAACTTATTTTTTAACATCTGCATTGTATTCCCTCAGGTGGATCCATTATACTTTATACCCAACCATTCCATAGCATTTGGACATTTAAGCTGTAGAAACTTTTAAACTAATTTCCTTTAAACTAATTCAAAAAGTGCTGTTTTCACTTTTTAAACTAATTACGTGATAAACAGTTTCACAACAACAGCTTTTTCTTTGGTATAGATTTTTATGGAAGTCGAATGACTAGATTCAATTACCTATAATTTCTTTAATATTCTGCTTTAATTGTGAAATAGCTGATAGACATAGGGAATACACACTGACAGTGGAAGAAAGGACACAATGAATAAGAGGCAGTGAGAAGGGATCAGAGAGGCAGATGTGATGGTCCAACTTCCACCTGATGGGAGCTCTTGAAGGAGAAAAATAAACATTCCAATTAGTGTCTTGAGCCCTGACCTCACTGGAAACTCAGGCTGCTGGACACCACCCCTGGGTGTCCAACAGGCTCTGCCACGTTCCAGGTGGTGAAAAAAAAAAAGAGGACAGGCTTCCCTGGTGGCGCAGTGGTTGAGAGTCCGCCTGCCGATACAGGGGACACGGGTTTGTGCCCCGGTCCGGGAAGATCCCACATGCCGCGGAGTGGCTGGACCCGTAAGCCATGGCCGCTGAACCTGCGCGTCCGGAGCCTGTGCTCCGTAACGGGAGAGGCCATAACAGTGAGAGGCCTAAGTAAAGCAAAAAAAAAAAAAAAAAAAAAAAAAAAAAAAGAGGAGAAGCAAGAAGCCATAACCGCACAACACTGTAGGTCCTGGTGTTTTTAGCCAAGGTTATATATAGGCGTAAAGGAGGCGAACAGTCAGGGGCAACTGCCCTGGCCAGTGTGAAGCCCAGAAGGGGCAGGGAGACAAGATACTTTCCACCCAAGGTAAGATCCTGGCTGCTCTGAGGGGCCTAATTTGTTCTGTGTCGTAGTCTTTTTAAAAAAATTATTCTTTTTAACAACTGTGGTAAAATATACTACATACAATGTACCACTTTAACCCGTTTTTAAGAGTATAGTTCCGTGGCACTGAGTTTGTGCAACCCTCACCATCAACCATGTCCAGAATTTTTCATCAGGCAAAAGTGAAACTTTGTACCTTATCTGCCAATCTTTTTAGACTTGGGCTTCTACCACTATGTAGGAAGAATTTACACAAGCAATCTGTGCTTTACGCTCCTGTTTAAGGGAATGTTTGACACATCAGTTTTTCCTGCTTCATGAACGAAACTCAGACACAGCCTCACTCAGGGGACACAGCCGCACTCAGGGGACAAAGCAGAGTCAGTGTCCGGATGCCCCGGGCAGCATCATTCCCCAGAGAACCCTGACTGCACTCTCCCTCCCAACCGCAAATCCACTTCCCCAGCTCAGTAGACGGTACCGCCACCCATCCAGACGCTCGAGCCCAGGACTAGGACTCAGTTTCACTCTTCGCTCTTCCTCATTCCCCACATCCACACCACCAGCAAGCCCTGTCAATGCTATCGCTGAAATGGCTCGTGTGTTTACTTCCCTCCATCTCTTCCACCGTCTCCCTGGTCCCCAAGGCCACGGCCTTTCACTCAGATCTCGTCCCAGCCTCCTACCCAGTCTTCCCACATGCCCTCTTGCTGCTGCGCCATTGTCCATTCCCAATAGAGCGGTCACAGTGAGCTTTGAGAAATCACCTTTAAAACAGCTCGTTATACATGCCTGCTGAAAACCTTCCAATGGCTTTCCATCTCGCACCGAAAATAAAAACTCCCTACCCCTACAGAGCTTGACGGGATGGCCCCGCTTGCCTTCCTTCTTGCGTATCACCCCTTCCATGGTTCACTATGAGTCAGCTGCTGAGACGGGAGTGTTTGAACAAACACTCCCAAACCATTCTGCCTTAGGATATTAGAATAGGCTGTTTCCTCTGCCTGGAAGGTCTTTCTACAATCTTCTCACATCTGGCTCCTCTGTCTTCAGATCTCAGCTTAGGGGTTACGTCTTCACAGACGCTTCCCCTGAGCGCCTAATCCAGCCGGTCCACTCAGTGACTATCTTTTTTTTTTTTTTTTTTGGCTGTGCTGTGTGGCATGCAGGATCTTAGTTCCCCGAACAGGGATCGAATCTGCATCCCCTGCAATGGAAGCGAGGAGTCTTAACCACTGGACCGCCAGGGAAGTCCCTCTGTGATTATCTATTATGCTGTCTTAGCTCAATTATCTGCATAGCTCTTATGACTACTTTTTTAAATGGGAATTTTGTTTTAATTTTCTCTGCTTTGAAAATATATTCTTATATAAAGGCCATGTTTCATTTTATTATGATCACTGTTATTTTTTTATTTAATTTTTTAAATTGAAGTATAGTTGATTTACAATGCTGTGTTAATTTCTGCTGTACAGCAAAGTGATTCAGTTTATATATATACTTTTTTTTGTTAAGGGTAACCACCATTTTTAAAAAATAAATTTATTTAATTTATTTATTTTTGGCTGCGTTGGGTCTTCGTTGCTGTGCATGGGCTTTCTCTAGTTGCGGCAAGGGGGGGCTACTCTTCACTGTGGTGCGCAGGCTTCTCATTGCGGTGGCTTCTTGTTGCGGAGCACGGGCTCTAGGCGCACAGACTTCAGTAGCTGCAGCACGGAGGCTCAGTAGTTGTGGCTCACGGGATCTAGAGCGCAGGCTCAGCAGTTGTGGCGCAGGGGCTTAGTTGCTCCGCAGCATGTGGGATCCTGCCCGAGCAGGGCTCGAACCCGTGTCCCCTGCATTGGCAGGCGGATTCTTAACCACTGCACCACCAGGGAAGTCCTACATTCTTTCTTTTATATTCTTTTCCATTACGGTTTTTCACAGGATTTTTTTTTTTTTTTTGGCTGCAGTGGGTCTTCGTTGCTGCATGCCGACTTCCTCTAGTTGCAGCGAGCGGGGGCTACTCTCCGTTGCGGTGCGCAGGCTCCTCATTGCAGTGGCTTCTCTTGTTGCGGAGCACGGGCTCTAGGCGCGCAGGCTCAGTAGTTGTGGCGCACGGGCTTAGTTGCTCTGCGGCATGTGGGATCTTCCCGGACCAGGGCTCGAATCTGTGTCCCCTATATCGGCAGGCAGATTCTTAACCACGGCGCCACCAGGGAAGCCCTTTCATAGGATACTGAATATAGTTCCCTGTGCTATACACTAGGACCTTGTTGTTTATCCATTCCATATATAAAAGCTTACATCTGCTAACCCCATCTTCCCACATTCCATTCCTCCCCAACCCCCTACCCATGGGCAACCACAAGTCTGTTCTCTATGTCCATGGTGACTATTTTTCTGGATTATTTATTTATTAAGGTTATTGCCTCTCTCTCCTAAAATATTAGTTCCATAAATGAGAACCTTGTTTTTCATGTTTAGTGTCGTATCTTTCTATCCTTAAGGCGTAAAAAGTGCTTGGCACATAGAAGATGCTAAATAAAATGTTTCTTATTGAATAAATGCAGGGAATATTATTAATACCTAAGGGTGTAAGGACAAAAACTTTATAAAACTGAAATAAAAGTAAACTTCATACTTGAAAGCATTTCATCCTGAAAAATTAACAAGCCAAAATCTCACCAAGGCATATCCAAATAATTATATTATTTTTACTTGTTTATTTTCTGTATTCTGAGCAAATATGTCATTTCCAAATGCGGAGACTCTATTTCCAATGCCTTGCACAGAATTTGGCATGTAGCTTTTTCTCAAAAACTTTTTTTTTTTTTTTTTTTTTGCGGTACGCAGGCCTCTCACCATTGTGGCCTCTCCCGTTGCGGAGCACAGGCTCTGGACGCGCAGGCTCAGCGGCCATGGCTCACGGGCCCAGCCGCTCCGCGGCATGTGGGATCTTCCCAGACCGGGGCACGAACCCGTGTCCCCTGCATCGGCAGGCGGACCCTCAACCACTGCGCCACCAGGGAAGCCCCTCAAAAACTTCTTAAATGAGCTTCCTTCCAGGTCTGGATAATGAAATCCAGTGAGTTTGATTTCAGAGAATGTGATTACAAGATAATTGGAATCTAATGACAAATGTACCGGAATTTTATATACTGTATTTACATCGTCTTAACCCTTTCAAAATAGTCCCCCCTGGAGACCTGTAGACTCATTCCAGTGTTGCTAACACAGTTCTAAAGACGTGTTTCAAAATGTTTACATGAAAGATCTGTGTGCCTTTTACCTTAAGAAGGTAAAAACAAAAACAAAACAAAATACTATCATTCATAGCTATTAAATACTTTAACTGGAAAAAAGAAAGATGTTTGGTTGAATCAACTGAATTTTAAATCATGAGATTTTTTCTGATGTGCCTCTATATTTGTGATCCCTTTTGGCAGTTCTTCTTAAACTCTTGCAGAAAACCTTTTACATGAATCATATCCTTACATAATTCCAATCACAAAAGACAAAAAACAATGTTTTTATTACCTCTGATTATCCTGTAACTCATAAGTCCCTTTGCTGGTTTCAGGGGACAGGCTTCCTCACTGGGACAGAAGAACAGGTAGCAGTTGGGTAGTTTAGCTGTTTTTCGAGTGTCGAAGATCATCAAGTTACATGCTTTGTCCCCTGCAATGAAAGGTTTCATAAGCATTATCCTGAAATAGGATCTTCCAGAGAATACGGTGAGCAGGAAAACATTTATTCTAGTGGCCAACACAAAACCCTTTGTTCACTGCCTGCTGGCCGCTGAGTCATTTCCTTTTCCTTAGTTTAGGCACTGAAAGCAATTTTTAAAGACCCTGGGTTTAAAAATCAGAATGAAGGTAATTTTGGCAAAACATGTTCAATAGTACATTTCATTCTTTAGAAAGAAGCCTTCCGTTTGCTAAAATATTTATCAAAACATACATAGAAATACTGAGTCTACAACTCACTACTGAGTCCGACCTTAGGAAATGGATCTAACCCTAATGACTGTAGGTACGTCTTGCATCCTGAAGGCATCTTAGATGCCTACGAAGCCATCAGTCTGGTTTTCTTGGTGTGGGGCGAGGGGAGGGTGGTGGGCAGGGAGGGTCAGTAAATTCAGCCTTATACATATCATGCCTCCTTCCACAATGGAGCTGCACAGCATATGGAATGCCAAGTCTATTTTTTACTTTTATCAGTACCATTCTTCTTTGGGTTCTTCAAATTTCTGCTCTTATCATTTTTGTTTGTCTCCCAATCAGGCAGCGGTCAGGGATCACCCTTGACTCTCCCAGTGGGAAATAAGACTGAGTTCGTTTCTGCAGGGGTTTTATCCTATCATGTCTCCATTAGCCAGGTAACAAGAAAGGTACTCTGGTTACTTTGGCTTTTCCTTTCCCCACGATGTGATAATTCTACAAACCATTTTGGGGGGCACTTAGGTAAAGGGGAGGGTCCATAGGGTCCAAGTTGTACACAAAATTTTGTGTCCTTTGTATTTGTGGGTATTTTTCTAGAGTCTGTGGCTATAGGCAAATTATCAAAGTGCTTTTTTGGAACCCTAAACGGTCAAAAACCAACACTCAGTAAAAGAGGGAAAAGCCTGAGATCCATTAACTGAGACCCACAAGTACCTCTGCTTACAGTAAAGCAGTAACAGTACTTTTGCTTGTAGAATAAAGCCGCAAACCCTCATTTCTTACTAAACACCTATCACGGAACTGAAGAGAAATGCAAGGTTTCCTATGTTGCCAGGATACGCCCACATGGCATTCAGTCCTATTTGCAGGTGATGTTTCTATTCCACATATATGTTGATATCAACATTTAAAGAAAAACTAGAAATTTAAATGAGACCTCTATGACTTCCATAAATTACTTCTCTATGAAGAGTATCCAAAAGCACACAGCTCAATTTGAGAAGATCATTGAAGTATTTGTTTCCTCATGACAGCAAATACCTGGTGTCATTTTTACCCAAATTCTCTAGTTCTCTGATTCTCTAACACCAACGGGGTGTCTTACAATTCAATTCGATTCTAATACTAACGGCCTGGAGTGAGTGTCAGACCCCACCAGTCTAGGGCTCAGTCCCATCACTGTCCCCACTCAGAGGCCAGTCACAGTATCAGGTCCCCAGGTCCCTCACACATACGGCAAACTTGGCTATCACCCCCCCACCCCAGGTTCCATAACTTGCTAGAATGACACGCAGAACTCAGGAAAATGCGATACTTACCGTTATAGTTTATTACAAAGGATACAAATGAACAGCCCGATGAAGAGGTACATAGGGCGAGGTCTGGAAGGGTCCCAAGTGCAAGAGCCACCGTCCCTGTGGAGTTGGGGTGCCTCCTGGCACATGGATGTGTTTACCAACTTGGAAGCTCCCTGAACCCATTGTTTAGGGGCTTTCATGGCAGTTTTATTACGTAGACATAATTGATTAAGTCATTGGCCACTGGCGACTGAATTCAATCTCCACCCCCTTTCCCCCTACCCGGAGGTGGGTGGAGGAGACTGAAAGTTCCAAGCTTCTAAGCAAAGCTTGGTCCTCTGGCGATCGAGGATCCCACCAAGAGTCACCTTGTGAGCATAAGCTCAGGTATGATTGAATGAGGCTCATTATGAATAACAGAAGAAGCTCCTATGCTCAGAAAATGCCCAGGGTTTTAGGACCTCTGTGCCAGGGAATGTGTATTTATATTATTACACCACAATCGTTATAGAATGAAATGGAAATAAAGATCTAAGAGAAAACATGTGATTTGGTCAGCTGATAAATCAAGTAAGGATCACGAGTCCAGTGTTCACTAGTTCTTCTAGGGTCCTTGATGACAAGGTCTTTTCCATCTTATTCACTGTTTTATCTCCAGCACGTACCAAGGCATTAGGTGCTCAATAAACTTATGTGGTTTTTTTTTGTTTGTTTATTAGATATATACTTCTGTTTTCAGGTCATAGGTTTGGAGCCTGAAATATGCAAGGGCATGGTTCAAACCTGCGGGGCTCAGTTTCCTTCTGTGTCATGGAATGGGTCATTCTAAACCCCTTCCCATGCCTCTTAGATTCCTAGAAGCTGCAATTAGTGGCCAGTGGCTTCCTGACTCACCTGTGCCACCAGCTCCAGGGAAGGGAGATAAAATGGGAATTTTGTGCTTCTACTTAAAACTCAAATGCTGATTCTCCTATGGGATGACTTTAGAATTTTATTTTTTGTCTCAACTCCCTTTCTGTTTAAACGTTCTTTCTAATATCACACTGTATTCCAATATTCCATGATGATGGAAGCCAAGCATTTAAGTAGGACTTCTGTTTTCAATATCCCAGATGCCTGTTAGAACACAACACCAGTGGTTTTCAACCCTTTTTCTACCCACATATCTGAGTGATATATATACACTTATCAGTAACTTTGGCTCAGCTTAGGGGAGGGGAGAGCACACCATGGAATATTCCCTAGTGATTTTGCCACCCACTTTTCTACACCATTGAGAATCACCAGTACAAACCATTCAGCCTCATCAACCAGCTACTTACATCACAAAACACATGGAATAAAGAGTTGCCAAGGCATTATTACTTACCTGATATGTTTTTTGTTGAGCAGCAAGAATTAACGCAGTCTTCTTGAGTTAATGTGTGTATGGGCTCATTGCCTCTGATTCCCTTGGAAAGGGATGACTGGATGTCAATGACCATATCTTCTAGACTCTTGATGGGGCAGTTCTGACTGGTGGACAGCCTTAGTGTCAGGAAACAAATTATTACACGAGTGTGAGTCAAGCTCCATCCCTCCCAGAAGAACATTTTAAATTTCAGGTTAGTCTTGGTCTCCAAAGGTCAGATAACTCTCCTTCTGGCCTGAGTTTGCTTCAAGAAGATTGGACAGATGACGGAATTTCTCTCTAGAACAAAAATAGACAATCATCAATGAGTTTTGTTTCTTTGAACAAACCTAGAGAAGATACATTTCATTTCCTTCAAGTCAATGTAAACAACTCACAATTCATAGAAGGACAGGAATAAACAAGTATTTTTTATCTGTTTCACTTTGAATAGATTTGAGACAACCTTTCATTAAAAACTTGGCAGAAAGCTAGGAAGCACACACACATACACTCTCCCATCAATGCTTAAAATCTGACAAGTATCTATGAAAGAAGAGGTCGTCTGCTTTTCAGTTTTAGAATCCTTCCTCTTCTTGCCTCTCCTAAGCAGGAGGGGAAAGGACACAAAATCTGTGGTCATTGGTCATTGATGAAACAGTGATCATCGCTTTGGACGTATGTTCTTTCTCAGTAATAACAATTAGCATTTTTAAATGACCTACTGAGTGGTAGGCAATGCACTAAGAAAATTACATACATTGTCCTTCTAGGAATTAGCCCATCAACAGGGGGAATATTCTGGCTCAGTTGAAGGAAACTGTAGGGGCAAGTGTTCTTTCTGACATCCCTAAAAACACAAAAGTCATAATACATATAATGCCAACTCCATTGGTGAGCTGGTTCTTCCAGAAAAAAAAATGTGAAACTGGCAATGCTATACCAGAAAACATCCTCATTTCCAGAATACAAATTGTTCACTAAATGATAGCCTAGATCAGAATTACCGCTTCTTTAATTTTTTTTTTTGGTTATGAACCCTTTGGTACTCTGGTGATGCTTAGGCTCTCTTCTGACATGTTTTAAAATATATAAAAGACATGTTGTTAAATGTATAAAATGAAATATATAGGATTACAAAGGAAGACAGTTATATTGAAATATAATTACTGAAAAGTTTTTTAAATGTGCCTATAAGACTCTGATGAAAGATATCAAAGAAGATCTAAATAAATGGAGAGATATTCTGTGTTCCTCAATAGGACTACTCAATATTGCTAAGATGTCAGTTCTTCCCAACTTGATCTACAGATTTAATGCAATTCCGATCAAAATCTCAGCAAGTTATTTTATAGACCTCAACAAACCAATTTTTTTTTTTTTTTTTTTTTTTTTT